CCCAATGATCCATAAGGATCCATGCTTTAGAATCATGTTTTTGCAGAATGGATTCACCACAAAACTGTGGATCTGTGATTTTTGTGGTGCAGGTTGTGGCCGTGGATGTGCTATGTGATTTCATGGTGTGTTTGGGGTGGCTCAATAGAAAAACCCTGAGGATCCATGAGGATCCTGCTTTTGAACCATGTTTTTGTAGAATGGTGTCACCACGGAGCTGTGGACATATGACTTCTGTGGTGCATTCTGAGGCCATGGACAAGGCATATTATTTGATGGTCATGTTGGGGTGACACAATGACTTTTCTGGCTCAAGCTGTGACCATGGACATGTTATGTGATTTGATGTGTTTGGGGTGACCCAACAGAAAAACCTCAAGCATCCATGAACTATGCTCCAGAACTATGTTTTTGCAGCATGGTGTTGCCACAAAGCCGTGGCACCATGATTTCTGTGGTGCAGGCTGTGGCCATGGACATGATATGGGATTTAATGGTATGTTTGGGATGTCCCAACACGAAAACCCCAAGGATCCATAAGGATCCATGCTTCAGAATCATGTTTTTGCAGAATAGATTCACCACGAAGCTGTGGATCTGTGATTTTTGTGGTGCAAGTTGTGGCCGTGGATGTGCTATGTGATTTGATGGTGTATTTGGGGTGACCCAATTGAAAAACCGTGAGGATCCACGAGGATCCGTGCTTTGGAACCATGTTTTTGTAGAATGGTGTCGCCACGGAGCTGTGGACATATGATTTCTGTGGTGCATTCTGTGGCCATGGACAAGGCATATTATTTGATGGTGATGTTGGGGTGACACAATGCAAAAATCAAAAGGATCCATGAGGATTCGTGCTTCAGAACCATGTTTTTGCAGCATGGTGTTGCCACAGAGCCATTGCACTGTGATTTCTGTGGTGCAGGCTGTGGCCATGGACATGATACGGGATTTAATGGTATGTTTGGGGTGTCCCAACTGAAAAAACCCAAGCATCCATGAGGATCCGTGCTTCAGAATCATGTTTTTACAGAATGGTGTCACCACAAAGCCGTAGATCTGTGATTTTTGTGGTGCAAGCTGTGGCCGTGGACATGTTATGTGATTTGATGGTGTGTTTCGCGTGACCCAATTGAAAAACCCTGAGGATCCATGAGGATCCGTGCTTTGGAACCATGTTTTTGCAGTTTTGTGGAGCCACAAATTCATGGGGGCATGATTTTTGGAGTGCTGCCTATAGTCTAAGACATGGTCTACAGTATGATGTAGGTTTTATTTCATTCCAGCGTAGAAATCACATGAATTCACGAGGATCCATCCTTTGGAATCATGTTTTTGTGCTGCTGTGGTGCCACGAATCTGTGGGTGCGTGATTTTTGTGGTGCCCCTTGTAGACTAACACATGGCCTACAATATGATGGTGGTTTTATTTCGTCTCAGTGTAAAAATCATATGAATTAATGAGGATCCATTTAGATCTGACTTTTACCCAGACTCCTAAATAATCTACTTTCAATGCACTTTCTAACTAGATTTTGCCAGTTCACACAATAAAATCCAGTTGGCAAGTGGTCTGAAAGTGGATTATTTAGTGTGTATGACCACAACAACTATTGAAGACTACAGCAACAGGGAATACACTTATCTTCCAACCCTTGGTACAGATAACTGGAACTGTATTATCAGCTGTCTTCTGAGATTGCTTAAATGAGAGCACTAAGCTTTATCACTGCCACCTGCTGCTCAAATAGCCGTATTTCCAATAATTAAACATTCCCACACAAGCTAATATTCCGCAAAAATCTCACATCACAAAGCGCCGTTCTGTCTCCCTTCATTTCCCATTTTCCTGAAGTGCTTTTCAAGAAAAATTTAAAAAATAACTCACACAGATCCAAAAAGGGAAGCCTTTTACTAAGACCAGCCAACACGGCAGAGGCTTTCTCTAGAACTCATGCAATACCCAAACAAAATGCTCTGTCTTCTTGGTGCTTGGGGGGGGGGTCAACAGTGGGAGGGCTTCTAGTGTCCTGGCCTCACTGGTGGACCTCCTGATGGCACCTGGTATTTTTGGCCACTGTGTAACAAAGTGTTGGACTCAATGGGCCTTTGGCCTGATCCAACATTGGCTGCTCTTTTAAAGAATTTCCCTCGCTCACGCCCATGTGCGTTCCCACGCCTTCCATTGGCCAAGAAAAAACGTGCGTGACCCTGCGGCTGTTTTTTCGCCTCCTCTTCCCCCTCCCCCCTTCTCCGTCGCTCCTTGATGATGAAAACTCCAGCTGGCGTCCAAAACAAAGTGCGCAGCTAAACACAACGGGTATAGGCTGTTTCTGCCGCGCATGCGCAGTTGTCATCGAAGTCTCCCTTTTCTTTCCCCACCCCTTTTCCCTGTCTCTTCGTTGGGGGGAGGGGACAGCTAAGGTCTAGTAGCGAAAACCCCTCCCCCCCCCCCTCCGGGTTAACTGACAGCGTGACCGGCTTCGGCCGCGTCCCTCAACAAACATAGGAAGGATACAGGAGGACCTTCGCCGGGCCGGGCGCTCTGAGGCGACGAAGCAGCAGAGGCCTGGTTGCCGGCGAGCGGCTCGTAATCGAAGCGGGGAGGGACGGAATGACACAGGGACTTGGACAGCAGGTCCCGCATAGGCAATCATAAGGGGGCGGCGGCTTCTGATGCGTTCCTATCGCCTCAGGGCAGGGGCCAAGAGACGCCGGCTAAGCCCTACCTGAGGCGCCCTTTATGTTATTGGTCACCCACCCCCTGTAACCACCCGCTGGAGGCTGAGCTGCTTTCTTCGCTCCCGGGGCTCAGAGCGACTTTCACCCCGCCACAGGCACGGAGTGGGAAAGGAGGCGGCGGCGGCTCCCTGGGCTACGGCCGGCCTAGCGAGCTCCGGGCAGGGCAGGCTGAGAGGAAGGTGGGTTCAGGTTCTTGGATGCCGAGGGTGCCTCTCGTGGGGTCCGTTCCCTGCAGCTCCAGCGCTAGAGACGGCGGGGCATGAGCCTGCCGCAGCCCGAGGGTCAGGAGGAGGAGGAGGACGGCGGCGAAGGAGAAGAAGACGATATGGAGCCGCCGTCGGACGAAGCCCTGTCTGCGTGGCCTGGCGTGGAAGTTGCCGTGGACTCCGCGCTGGTTGGGTGCCTGCTGAAAGAAGAAAAGGAGAACGACGCCCTCGGGAGCTGTGGCCACCGCGGCTGGGAGCAGAACCTGAGCCCCGAACTACAGCAGGCGTATCGGATTCTGAGCGAATTTCTACTGGAAAAGCACCGGCCACTGACAGCACCTTTTCTGAGACCCGTTGAGGGCGAGCTATGTGAAATCGCCTCTTCCTCTTCCCAGAAAAACAGCGGGCATCAGCCGTCCCAAGAACCTCAACAGCTGACGTTGCTGAAGATGGAGGAGAAGTTTTCTGCCGGGCAATATACCGGGATCGCGGATTTCGTGGCGGATTTTCGATTGATGCTGGAGACCTGCTATCGGTTGCACGGGGTGGATCACTGGCTCTCCAAGCAGGCCCAAAAGTTGGAGATGATGTTGGAGCAAAAGCTGGCGTTGCTATCTCGGTAGGTGTAACCAAGACGTCCTTTTTGGTACTGGGCTAGCAAGAAGAAAGGTTATGATGATGTGTATGCTGTATGCAGAATAGAACAAATTGTAACTTATTTGACAGCGTAAGTTATATCTATGCACTTCTTGATTCAGGTTTGGATACACCAATACCTGTATTTCTAAGACTGCTTAGCCAAGAATGCTTACTAGGGAGTATGTCCCATTGAATTCAAGCACTTTGGTGGTGAGGCAATATACAAACAAATTATTAAGCAAGTTCTGTCTTATTTCTGGGTAAACATGCTTGGGATTGTCCTGCTGGTCTGGTTATTTTTTTTTTTTATGATTTGTTATAGAACTTATTTGAGATGCTGCTCCACTTAATGTATAGCATCAGAAGCATTTGTTTTCATGTTTGCTGCATATGAAGGTTTTGTCTGAAAACCCTAATCATGAATATAGGAAGCTAGCTGACTGTTATCAGAAATCAGGCTGAAATCTTTCTCAGGTTAGCATTCACATGTTTGAGATAACTGTATGTTCAAGTCAGACTAATTATAACACTAAAATACAAAGCACAAAATAAGATCTTAGGTTTAATATGTGGTTGGCTTGTGGCTTTAAAAAATAAAGCAATGCATGGACTAGGAATTGAAATTTGCAGTCATGATTGGTAGTGGTGGAAGGTGCCATAAAGCAGTCGACTTATGGCAACCCTGTAGGGTTTTCAAGGCAAGAGATGAACAGAGGTGGTTTGTCATTGCCTGCTTCTGTATAGCAACCCTGGATTTCCTCACGGCTCTCCCATCCAAGTACTAACCAGGGCTGACTCTGCTTAGTTTCCAAAAATCTGATGAGGTTAGACTAGCCTGAGCCATCCAGGTCAGCACAAATTTAGGACTACAGCATGTAATTATTTTAGAGGGAAAGGATGTGCTTCTGTGTGGTATAATCATTTGTTTTGGGGAGAGCATACACATTGCTGAAATACTGAACTGAAGAACTGAACTGAAGAACTTGATCTATCTCCTCTGCTGTGTGTCTAGTTAAGAAAGCAGGCATTTCTTGCTTAAGGCATCTTTTATTTACCTCTCCCCACTGCAACTGTGCGTTTGTTAAGTAAGCCTGTGATACTTTCCACAAATGCACTGGAGTCTCTAAAAGTAAAATACCCAATCATGCACATAATTAGGTAACTGTATGGGGCAGAAGTAAGTAAAGTTGGACTGGGCTTGTTCAGGTGCAAAAAGGACTATATAAGTGGATGGCCATCACAGTTGAATGAGAAAGAGGGTGTTGTAGGGTTTACTATTCACTGGCCAGCTTTACAGAACTGTTGAAGATAGGAGTACTATTAGCTGTACTGACAGCCAATGCTCCCTCTAAGCTATGGAGTCCTGTGAGCAAAAATTGTACTTTGTGTGCTACTGGCATTTAAGTTGTGAGCAGGTGATTTGGCTACTGCATAAATTAGTTTGCTCTGGAGACATCTTTTCTGAGCTAAGACAAAAATGTGTGAGCCAGAGGCTAAAATGACTGTGAGCTAGCTCACACTGACTCAGCTTAGAGGGAACTCTGCTGACAGCATATTTGGGGTAGTTAAGGACTGATACTAGTGACTACATGCTTGGTGGCATCTTGATATTGCTATACCTGCTGCTGTCTGCAGTTAGCAAGTTGGATGATTGCAGGTACCACCACACACAAGATCAGTCTTTCCAGACTGAATTTAAGGTGCTGGTTTGGCCTTTAAAGCCCTTCATGGCTGTAACCTACATATTCAAATGACCATCTCTCCTTGTATGAGCATGTGTGCAACTCCATTCCTCCCAGCAATTTTTTTTCTCTGTGCCCTCCTATGTGATGGCTGGTTCTAGTATTTCAGTAGTTGTGCAAAGTCTTTGAAACAGGCTTGCATTTGATGAAAATATTGCCCCTTCTCTGACTGTTTTTTTCAAAAGTATGTAAGCTGCATCATTCCAGGGGGCTTCTTTTCTTATTTTGCTGCTGTTTATATTGGAGATGGATTACTGTTGTGATGGTGACGTAGGTTATTATCATTATGTATGCACTTGAGCATTTTATTGTAATCTACCTTGGACCACTACATAAGGAAAAGCAGAATAAGGATTTTAATAAAAACAACGTGCCCCTGCAAGCCCACAGAGTGGAGTGCAGTGGTGCAGCAGTACTCAGTTCCTGGAAAGTGGGCAGTTTCTTTAGAATTCAGAAATGCAGGGTCATGGTACATGTTGGCACCAAATGTAGCTGTGTGGTCCTGGAGGAAAAATTTAGGCTGGTAGTCAGGAAACTCAAGGACAGGACCCCAAGGTAGCCTTCTCAGGATGATTTCATCACCGTTGGCCCAATATTAAATAGAGCACACTTTGTTTGTGATAACTCTATCAAAGTTGTGGAAATGTAAGGGTTTTGTGATACTTATATCAAAATTATAGAGATGTAAGAGTTTTGTGTTTGTGGCTGGATGGGTCAACACAGGCAACTGAATGTTAACCCATACAACAAAATTCCTTGCAAGCTGAAAACTTAGCGAAGAGAAAGGTTCTAACCACTTTCTGCAAAGATAGAGTAAAACTTGAAGGGAACTTTTCACATAGAGAAGCCCTTATTTTTTAACATCCAACCTAATAGAGTTGTGAAGAAATTGAAAGCTTGCATGCTGTTTTTCTGTCATAATTCTGACTTGCAAGTCCTTTCCCTCACTAAAGATACACAAGGGCTGGTGAATCTCAGATAGTAGTGGAGAGAGAGAATCCTATATTCTCAGAAGTATTATAGTAATTGAAAGAATAACAATATTAAGTGTGTGTGTTTGGGGTTGCAGGGTATTCTGTAGTCACATGGTTCTTTTTGTGGTTGATGGGAACTGCAAATGTGGCTCTCTGCAATCCTCAGAATGAGTACCACTGCAATACAAAGGTAGAACACCAGCAGGGGGTTGGGGGCTGTCCACTGTATTGCACTGCTTGTAACATGTATGACCATCTGCCAACTGGACAGAAGTCATGGGTGTGTGCTCAGTGCAAGGAGCTCCTGGTTCTCAGGGAACGAGTTCACACCCTCAGGGCCAAGCTGGCTGACCTGGAGAAGCAGAGACAGTCAGTCAGACACATGGATAAAACTCTCAGGGACTTGTTAGATGTGCCCTACTCTGAGAATGGCAGCCTTGCCACTGTCAAGGAGCATGAGGGTCATGGGGAAACAGGGCACTGTGCTGATGAAAAGGGGAATGTTCCCTCAGAAGGGACCCCTTCTTCAATTGGTGAACTGGTATCCTTTCGCACCAAGGAACCATCCCTAGGCAGGGATGGAGGGAGTCTCTTGGTAGTTGGTGATTCAGTCCTTAGGCATGTAGATAGATAGGTTGCAAACCTGTGTACTGATTGCATAGTGACTTGCCTGCCTCGTGTGAAGGTAGCAGACATTACATTTGGTCTAGAGAGGCTGGTAGACAGTGTTAGGGTCGGTGGTCATGGTACATGTTGGCATCAAATGTAGCTGTGTGGTCCTGGAGGAAAAATCTAGGCTGCTAGTCAGGAAACTTAAGGACAGGACCCCAAGGTAGCCTTCTGAGAAGTGCTGCCTGTTCCACACGCAGGGCCAGCTAGGCAGGCACATATTAGTGGGTGGATGAGATGGTGGTGTGGGGAAGAAGGGTTGACATTTGTTAGGCACAGGGATGCTTTTTGAAACAAGCAGGACCTGTACAAAAGAGACGGTTTCCGCTTGTCCTGAGAAGGAACCAGGCTGCTGGCGTTTAAAATTAAAAAGGTGGCAGAGGACTTGTTAAACTGAATCTTGGGGGAAAGCCAACAGGAGATGAAATGTCTCTGGTTCAGGATGGCTCATCTCTAAGAGATGAAGATGTAACTGTTACTGTTCTAGGGGGAAATGGATTAGGACTGGCCACTGAGAATGTCACAGACAATACTCTGCCTCACAAGGTCCAGAAACCACAGAAGTAAGGTTCCAGGCCTAACATATCTGGGAGATTATAGATGTTTATATACAAATGCTACAAGTATCCAAGGTAAAATGGAGGAGCTGGAGCGCTTAGTGTCAAAGGAGAACATAGAAATTGTGGGTATTTCATCAACTTGGTGGGATGAAGATAATCAGTGGGATTCAGTGATTCTTGGATATAAATTATATTGGAAGGAAAAGGTCAGAGGTGGAGTGGCTCTGTATGTCAGATTGAGAATGTAAGAGAAATAAATTCACTTACAGAGACTCTGTGGGTGGAAATAGTCTGCCCAAAAAGAAACTTAATTCTGGAAGTTTATCGCCCACCAGATCAAAGGTAAGAGGATGATTTAAAAACAGCAAAAGAATTAAGGAAAGCAGCTAGATGAAATAATTGTGTTGTAGGTGATTTAAAAGCACACATTGATTGGGTCGATATGTGTTCAAGTCAGGAGAAAGAGTCATTGGCTAACATGGTAAGAAACTCGGCTCAAATACATGGTATATCTATAAATCAAATAGAATATAAAATTAGTCTATTTGCTGATGATTTAGTTTTGTATATTTCTGAACCGCAAACTTCAATTTTATAATTAGAAAATATATTATCAACTATTAGTTTGTTAGCAGGACTTAATGTTAACCAATCTAAAAAGGTCCTATATCCTATTAATTTGTCTAGGGAAAGTGAACACTATATAAAAACTCATTTTTCATATCAATGGTTGACAAAACCCTGGAGTTATCTGGGTATTAAAATTCCGCGTCAATTGAAGGATCTATGGGTATTAAAATTCCGCTTCAATTGAAGGATCTATATAAAGTAAACTATCAGGAGTTATTGCAAGAAACTTCAAATCTATGCAATAAATGGAATTCATTAGCTTTAACATGGTTAGAAAGAATCAGAACACTAAAAACGTTTATTTTCCCCAAATTTTTGTATTTGTTTCGGACACTTCCAATTTGGATCCCAAAAGCCACATTTCAAAAATGGCAAAGCAAATGGAGAAAATTTGTTTGGTGTAAT